GCAAACTGGAAGACATTTTCTTCTGTAAACATGTTTGTTGATTAGAGATACATTTGACATAGGTGGTCAATAACATCAGCAAATATTGCAATATATATTTTGTAGGAAAATTTTTTGATTGATGGTGAAGTATATTGAAGTCTCTCTGCCAAAACAATACTGTTTTGCTGAATTTTTCCAGTACCGTGTTCTGGATTAATGTTCTGACATTTGCTTTAGGACAATTGGTTTGGAGTATTACACCATGTGGCTGGAGAGCATGAATGGGCAGATGGTGAGTGTAACCATGGCCCATTGGTAGAAACGGAAAAGGAAAAGCCCATTCTGAACAAAAACTCAAAAGCCCTTGACGCATTAAGGAAGATTGTCACCGATCCCAGGTTTCTGAAGACATTGGATCTGTATGTGACATTCAGGTAAATGATTGTTTCATTGCTGTGCTCAGGAGCAATAGTACTATATATTACAATAGAAACATGCCTATTGTACCAACTGGTGCCCCACCCCCATTGTATTGTACCTGCGATATATAAGCTAAAACTATTTATGTTTTAGGCACACCAGCAAACTGGAAAACTTCAATTCTATGTTATTGAAGTATGCACCAAAAAGAGTTAGTTTTCAGTGAGTATGAGCACTTTATTTTATGTTTTTTGAAGCATCTAAAGAAAAAGTTATTTAACTTAACCCATTAAGCGCCAGCGCTCTCCCCTTGACGAGTAAACTCGTCTGTCGTTAGACAGAGTAAAATACTAAAGTAGGGTGCATCGAGATGCAATGCGACTCAATGGGTAGACACATGGGCCGATACGCCAGTTAACGTATTAAGCGCCAGCACTCTCCCCTTGACGAGTAAAATCGTCTGGCATTGGACAGAGTACAATACTAAAGTAGGGTTCATCGGGGTGCAATGCGACTCAATGGGTTAACCTATTTAATTGCCATTTTGTACCCTGAAATACCCCACTTTATAATTTTACTATGTATTGAATGTCAGATTATTTACTCTGTCTAATGCCAATTGGGGAAAAAGGGAAGGTGCTGGCACTCAATGGATTATCCATTCCAAGTAAACTTGCCTGGCGAAATACAATGGATGCATGTACTCATGTCATCTTTCATTCTACTGTATATTCTAATACTCTTATATATTTGCTATCCTTCATAGGAATGAAGCTTATTTGGCAACGACCCTAGTGGCTGTGATCGATCACAACAACAATTTGGACAGGAATCCCTTCCTAAGTTTGAGAGGCATCCTAAAACACCACAAGGTTTACAGTAAGAGGTCAAAAAATTGGAGAGTCCAAGTTGTTAAAGAGGAGAAATCTTATGACTTTTGGCCCACTCTTGTGTCCAGAATCATGAAAAAGAGGGTAGATGATGAAAAAACAGTTTTAAGAAAAAATGAGATGTCAAGTGATCACCCCAAAACCATTGCACCATCAATTGCAATGAACCTGTACCAAAAACCAGTGATCTGGTACAAAGATCACTTTTCAGATTTTCTACGATTTCTTCTACTGAATGACATGCTATGAAGATGACAACAAACCTTATAATAAATCATACTGTAATATTTAATATAGTGATTTATCTCATATTATACAGGTAATAATTGTATACTGTACATATTGACAGAGGGATGTGCAGTAAAGTACATTTGAGTAAGAACTAAAGTTGAGCTGTGAGGAATTTAGAGCAAATGAAAATCGATATCCTATTTGATATTGTGGTCTCCTGCATGGAATTTAGCTTGAAAATTTTGCTATTTATTTAAAAAAATGCAATAAGCCTCTGATTGGTTGCCTGATTAAAGTTTTGTAGCATCGTATATAGCAATCTCAACTCAAATTGTTTTATCAATTTGTCTCAATTTTGCCAGAGTTACTACTGGCCTGCAATGAATTATCAAGCACAATTTGATTGGTAAAAAAGAAATGTGTTTTGTTGTATATCTCTTGGTCATGAATTAACCATTGTTTAATAATTAAACTGGTGTACATAATGTAATTGTAAATATGAAATGTCTGAGGGGTTATTCAAAGACTATATTAAAATTTTCACAAGCATACAATAATGCTGTGGTCATATGTTCCTAAAATGTTGGTGCACATATAATATACACAATTGTAATAAAGATTTAATGTCCAAGGCTCATCCGTTGACGAGTAAAATTGTCTGGCATTAGACAGAGTAAATACTAAATTAGGGCGCATTGTGCATTAACCTTTTAAGCCTGGTTCACATATATGCCTGCGACGATGCCGGTGGTAGCTTAAAACGTAAATTCTGTGAATATTTGTTCGCCGATTACCTCCAGTGCCACAGTTACATCGGCGGTAGGCCGGGAAAGTTGACTTGAGTTCAACTTTGCCGGTATTTCTGCGGCAAGTAGAGGCATAATGATACAGTCGCAGGCATATGTGAACCAGGCTTTAAGTGGCAATGGACCCAGATGCGCCCTACTTCAGTATTTTACTCTGTCTAGTGCCAGATGATTTTATTCGTCAAGTGGAGAATGCTGCCACTCAATGGGCTAAAGGGTTAATTATCTTCTAGAAAGACAATATAAGGGACTAATTAAAATGTAGGTGAATAAAATCTATCTTTACTTGGATTTACCACTTTGTATCTCACAACAAAATATTTAGTGACACCTGTAACTGTGCAACTAATTGCTCATGCTCTTTTAAATCCCATGTATATTCCATCCTGTGCAGGGTACAATTGCCTTATTGCAAGTACCACACAAGAAGGACACACCCTTCTATTTCCCCTTCCTAATTTCTTGTATCTCCACAAGATGTATTGGCGATAAGCAGCCTTTCTGAAACTGTTAGTAGAGTACTCGGGTTCTTCGGCTCTGATGTCACACCGCCCTCTGATTGCCATGACAAGAACATATCTGTCGGTACAAGTGTTCTGAAATGTTACAAATGATGTGACACACCTGATTTTACCACAGCATTTATTTTCCTCCTCAGTGGGCATTGGCCGGCAAACACCACAAGTGCACCAGGATGGCTTAGTAGGAGGTAGAGAAGGAACAGCACCACCAAATTCCACAATATTCTTTGCATAATCCAAGCTCCCTTTTCCATTTGAAAGTAGTTCTAGGAGAACTCTGTCCTTTTGTCCTTCATCCAGTGTGCCAATGAATTTCTATTACAATATATGTACTTTGTTATGCACGTAAACAGTGACAATACAAAAATTTTATCACATGTAGGTAACTTTGGGGGCATGTGGCCCAAGTATACAGTTTGAGAATCATACTACAATATTGTATCGTGTATGTACAAGCCTCAGTCGCTCACCGTAATTTGTTGTTTTGCTTCTTCCACGGCGATCTGGTGGCGTTCAAAGGCATTTCGGCCAGCGTTGGCATTCTGGGGATCAGCTTCGCCGCTTGCACAATCCTTATTTTTGCAGCTCGCCTTTTTAGTGCCACACTTGCACATGTCGGCACAACGCAACCCATCGTCACGGCAAGGACAACCACGTTTCTTTCTGCCGCTGCCTTTACTGCAAGTGTTCTTGCAGCTACAGAACTGTAACGTAAAACAACAATTCAGATTAGAATATTTAATGCATTTGACAAAAAACCTATCAGAATTTCATGAATGTAGGTTTTAGCGCATCCAAAGAATACAAATATTCAACTTACTTGACTTCGTCTATTTGGTCGGTCAAGGACAACATTCGACGGCCCAGGTTGTTCCTCGTCAATAATATCGTTATTCTCAGGCTGTTCCGTATAAACTGGCGAACCGTACATATTTAAATTATCTTCCGGATCATAACGTGAAACATTTAAATCTGAATCGGAGTCAGACATTTCTCTTTATTTGCGAAGGCTTTCAAGTAATACTGTAATAGCAGGCAGGCTAGCAGCGAAGTTACTTATCATATCACGCGAATAATTATCATATTTAATTGCACAGTTCCCGTATGTATAAACAAACACGAGCGCGCAATGCATTGTAGTTGACAATGATTCTTTAACTTAAGCCTGTTTTTCGAATTTCACTTGTTTGGTCGTCACTTGTTTCCAACCACCAAAATGACATGACGTCATTTTCTTCCAACTGAATATCTTCGGTTTCGCATGGGTCTCACTTCGCCGTTCGAGCAGGCAGGCCTGCGGGTTGAACATTATATATTTAATATATGCATGTGATTAATATATTGTCTTAATTGATATTCGCGCGAAATTTAAACTTTTTCCGGGTCGCTTGCAATTGCAATCATGGCCGAAGCCGCGAATTCAGATTTAATACCGGTCGATATTTGTGATATAAATACGAAAACAAAATGGCAGAGTGGTTTTATAGGAAGCTGCAGTAGATATTTTGGATATGTCCACACAGTAGAGAAAGCAATGGCGGTTATGAAGCAATACGAGTTGGATACAACAACTTGATTGTCATACTTCAAATCAAGTAAGGACTTTGGATCCACATGTAAAGAAGAGTTTGCTTATTATCAAATACAGTACAACTAAACTCAACTTAAGTTAGGCCTTTGCCAACCTCTGAGTGTGAGTTTAGCCCACATACAAGGTCTTGTCATATAAATGAATATAGACTATCAGACAATTATTATTTGTATTAAAGATGTTGTAAGTCCGTAATGTAAACAAACGCGCGAACTGCTATATTTGTAAAATATATACTGAATATCTGACATTTTTCTGGTTCGCTATGCTTGTAAATGAATATAAAGTAGACGTTTCAATTCAAAACAGTTCGAAAGATGCAAAATTTGTGCAATGACTGCAATCTGCGGGTCCCTCTTTGTTATGAGCAGAACAGATGCGCAGAACGGACTTTACAGCATCTTTAATATAATTATTTTCTTCATACATTATTTTCAGGTGTTTTTATTCTGCACATCGGTTCATAACTATTGTCCCTATACCAGGGTCCAGGGGTGATGACAAGAAAGAACTAGGGGGCTACAACCCCCTCTCTAAGAAAAATACGCATTTTGTAAAGGAATAAACTAAGCTTCCCGGTGGAAAATTACCCACAAAACGCAGGAAATTGTGGTTAAAACCGAACAAACCATAGCCTGGTTGTAGCAAAAATATTTATACCTAGCTCCCCTGTTGGGAAAGCTAGCCCATTGACATATATTCATCTGGACTGCCTGCTCGTATGCTTTTTGACCTGAGGCTACCGTCAAAGATTAGGTACTATAAAGATGTGCCACTCGCCGTATTTCCCTAATGTTTGCGTGTCCGAGTTTTCCGTGCTGATCACGAGTGATCACGCGAGATGACGAGTGCATAACACTTACTGCCAAAATGGCGGCGAGACGAATACAATAGGTTGCCATCGCGATGCTCGCGATATATGACGAATTTTGACGAATTGGACACTTACTGGCAAAATGGCGGCTATAAAAAAATCTCGGACATAATTTTCGCAGAGTGGCACATCTTTATAGTACCTAATCTTTGCTACCGTTATGAATTGAAGATCACGAATGCTGACGAATATGAGTAAAATAGCACTGCTGGCGCAAGCAAAATTCTTTCAGAATAGATACATATACAGAGTTATAACTATTGTGACCACTTTTTTGTGCGCATGCTCGGCAAGTTACTAGAGGCATGCATCCCATTGGAATGACTGCTTGGTTTAACTGCTCGCGGAACTTGTTGAGCACGCGCAGTTGATCATTTTTTGCCCGGTCGCCTGAAAAAAAGTGGGTACATGAAGACGTAAGTTTCCGCAGCGTTTACGACGGCCAGTTACAGCTCTGTATGTATCTACTCTGTGCCAATGAACTCTAGGTGAACATTTAGTTCAACATGTTTACATAGAGTTCACTGGCTCTGACTCCATGAGAAATCACTCTGATAATCGCAAGATCATAAGAGCAAGCATTCCCAGCAGTCAATGAGCTAGCCCCCTTGTCAAGGTACTCCCAGTGCCACCCTTGCTTCTTACTTAGTAAGATTATCAATATCATTTATTACATTTCAATTTTTATTATTATGTATTATGTACAAAGAAACTGAAATGTGCAAGATTACGTATTGTTACGTTTACACGGTACTGGACGAATTTGGAACCGGCTGAACTTCGTCCTTTTTTCGCTTGTTTACACGCGAATTCGAAGGTCTGTTATAGGGGGTCTCAAACTCGTCCGGTTCCGTTATTCTCTTGTAAACGGAATGCCAAAACGGACGAATTTCAGCCAGGTTCCAAGTTTGTTCGGTACCGTAAACGTAGCCTATTGTCCCATGAAAAAGGGCTATGTTAAATGATTGTCAAAATTATATAGATCCATTCAGCAAGCCAAGGAAGGTTTACTTCAAAGACACCAGCATTTCTTTTGACGGAACTCCTTTCTACATCATTAGTACAAAGGCCTTTGAGTAGTGAAACCCCCCACTCTGGAGTACAAAGGGATGCCGCCAATGACGTCACATTGCTCCGAAAGTAATTTGTATGCAAACTTAGGTGTCGGAAGTAATTAGTATGCAAGATATGTGACGCAACTTTGCTGGCCCTAACCCTGGGCCAGGTAGCGCGACCAATTAACGCGGCCAGGCCTGGGCCAACTGTGACAGGTAACGCGACCAATTAACGCGGGCAGGTCTGGGCCAAACGTGGTCGATTAGCATTACAATTCAGTAACGAGACCAATTAGCGGCACAACACAGTAGCGCGACAAAACAAATTATCAGAGATTATAAATATCGTGTATCAAACACACGTTTCATTTCTCACTGTTGCATTTTGGCGAGTGGTCTCTGGTTTTCTCAAGTGTTGTCGGGTTCTGAAGTGTTCTCTGCTTTTGGATTGCGTTGGATTGTTTTTTAAAATGGTTCATTCGGTAAGGAAACGTAGCGTTTTGAATATATGTTTACGATAGTTTCAGAGTCATAGGCTGGATAAAATTTGTTTTTGAATATATGTTTACAATAGTTTTAGATTAATATGTTTAGGATATTTCTAGATTAATATGTTGGATCTTGTCAAAGCTTGTGAAGCTGAAAGTGAACTCGACTTTCTCCAAGAGTCGTTTGTGCTTACTGATGAGCAGAAGGAAGCTGTTCTTCAACAGCGCATTATATTTTGGACGAACGCGATGGCCGGAGATATTGAACGGGAGAATCCGGTTGAAGTTGACCCTGATATGATGGCAAACTGGACCGAGGATCAACGTCGACTGTTCAACGAAGACTGGGCCAATGATGATGGTTTATGCGAACTCGAACAGATGCCTGAACCGCCAGAAAACCAAATAGGTGAAGGGAGCAAGCGAAGGCACGCCAGTGATCACGCCCCCTCAAAACGCCAAAGACCAGAGGAGTATTTCACTATTAAATCAGCCAAGCAAGTCAACGTGAGGAAATTCAGGACGACAGGTACACATTAAACTGTTTTTATATTTTTAAGCGTAACATCGGCTACGTGTGGGATATAGATTGTTATGTGCGAGTGAGGTTTCGTTTTTATTAGGCTCCATTTACACTATACCGGATTGCTATCGGAGTGGGTCAAATTTTGTAGGTATCGAAAGGCTGTGAAGATTTTTAATCTCAGAGCCCCAAATAAACATGCCAATTCTGTCAAATTAATAAGCATTTGCTACTAGCCATTGCTCCGTAACGGCAAAAGAAGATGTAGTGACCAGCGAATCCGGTATAGTGTAAACCGGGGCTTATAAGAGTTGTGTTTATTGCTTATATGTACATCTGTAGTTGGCTGTACGAAGGATGTCCAACAAGTTAGCTTTTTATAAATGGTCATAACTCTCAAATGAAGCCTTAGTATTTACAGGGCTTATGATTAGAATTGTAGCTAAATGTTTCGAGTGGTACAATCCGGTAAATAGCGAACTTAAGACCTACGACGCGGCTGGCTCAACGACGCGCTTGTGAAAAAAAAAAATTGTTGTGCAAGACAAAAACTATCAATAATTCGTGGTCTCAGGGGTATTTTCAAAGGCTTTGTCGTGCTAAACAAAACGTTAAACTAAGCATTATCACGACTTTCACGCAAGGTGAACGCTTATTGCGACCCTAAAGCAGTCTTAAAGTCGAAATTACAGCAAACACTGCATCGCTTTAGTCGAACTTGGCAGTTTTTAAGGTTATTTGAAAAATCTTCAAACATTTATTACAGTAATGCAATTGCTTAGGGCTCATTCTTGAACTGAAATTCAGACCGCGTCGTTGAGCTGGCGCGTCATCGATCTTGAGCTCTCTATTAGTGTTGTTTGTACAACCTCCCGTTTTCTAGGTATCCAAATTATTCCATATTACAGAGTAATCATGTTACAGTAATCTATATAATGATTACTGCTATAAAAATAACGCAATGGTGTAAACGCGCCACATTTTCCTTGGCCATTAGACCAAGGCTTGTAGTGTAAAAACACCTCGTGAAATGTTGGGTGTTTAAGGCTACTTGTTACCAACCATAGTCTTTCTGATTGCTATTACTTGGTTAGTACAATAGTGTATTACGGTTTTTAGGTACAGACTATACTGTCCAGTTCAACCCGTTGGACGTGCACGGGGTGTCGAACGTCATGTCGACGTTGAACCGCGCATTTCAACACTTATTTGACCGACTCACGAGTGACATGGCACCTCACGATCAAGTTCGCTTGATCCTCAACTCGGATCAGCTGGACAAATCCATTTCCTTGCCTTTCCTACAACGCGATCGTCTAACCCCAGAACGTTTCCTGGCAGCTGTTGAACGTGTCGTACAATCCAATGATCAATTTACTTTGGATGACTCTGTCAGTGTTAACGTGGTCCATGTCGAAATGCCTCAGGGTGCAGGTAGAAAACGACGTGATGTTGTAAACCTCGAAAGTTTTCTCAGAAAAAAGGACTGTATCGTTCAAATTAAGAACAAAGATGATCTCTGTTGTGCCCGCGCGATCGTAGTGGCCAAAGCAAAGCTGGACAAAGATCCAAAGTACAAGAGTATCGTTGATCATCGTCGAGGGATGCAGTCACGCCTTGCTCAAGAACTCCACGAATCAGCGGGCGTTCCTCTTGGTCCCTGTGGCATCCCGGAAATCAAGAAGTT